TTTTTTTTTTCGGTTTGGTTACTTTTTTTTGATAAAAACCGAATCGAACCGAAAATGATCACCCTAATTGAAGCTATGTAAAAAAACTCTTATTTTTTTTTTAGTGTTTTTAAGTAACATAGCATGACAATAAAAATTTTAAAATTTATATAATAAATGTTGAATTTAAGTTAGTATATATATTTCTTATAAAAACTTACAATAACTATAATTTTACTTGTTCATCTAAATATATAAAATATATTATTTAAAAAATAAAATTTCTAAATCCAAAAAAAAAAAAAAAAATTTTTTTTGTTTTTTATTTATTTTAATGTGTTAATATGAAAAATAAAAATATTTTAAAAAATATTTTAATATAATTCAAATAAAAAATTATTTTTTATTATATTCTCAAACACCTTTTAAATTATATTTTATAAACGCATATCAAGTTTTCTAGTATTATTTTAAGTCACCAAATCTCCAACGCATTCAAGTCTTTATATAAGATTTGTTTGAAAATATACTAGTGTTTATGGTTGAAAATGTTTTTTATTTAAAAAATATATTAAAATAATATTTTTTTTATTTTTTAAAAAATATTTTTGACATATAATATAAAAATTTTAAAAATATAATTTCAACTATTTTCTTAAACACATATTTACTATTAAATAGGAAACCAATTAGGGATTTTTATATTACATTTTGTATCCATGCATTAATAAAGTATCATATTTGTTGTCCTTATTTTTTAGTTTTATTTTTTAGGTGCAAATTTATATGTCCACGTTTGGAGGGCAGTCAAAAATCGGTTGTTTTTTTAACTCTGTTTTATATTAAATGTTATTTTTTAAAATATTTTTTATTTAAAAATAATTTTTTATTTTTTTAAAATTTATTTTTAATATCAAAAAATACTAAAATATAATTTAAATTAAAAAAATATTTTCCAATTAAAAAAACAAACATGAACGATCTTCAGAACGCACTTCATGCATCAACATGGTGCATTCGTCAGAATCTAACAAATTCTTTTCGTTGGTGATCCTAAAATTTCAATTTAGAAAGGAAAAAATTAAAGTTTATTTTCTTAACCATCAAGCTAACCCCTTTAGATTTATACTGCTGCCATTAGAAATTTTCCCATACCTAATTTATCAAAAAACAAAATCCTTAGTATAATTAATAAATTATGTAAGGGTTTGATTTTATAATTTATATTCTCTTATTACAATCTCTAATGAGTGGTAGATGCAGTTTCGGTATTCGAATAAGTTGCATTAACAAGTTTAAATGTTTAATTTTTCTTATGTAATATTTAATAAATTTAACTACTATGTTTTCTATTCAAGTAGTTTTATTACATGTTTTATATGTTGTCCTGGAATAATTATAAAATATAAAACATTTGGTAATTTTTTATATATTGCAAGAACTGAATTTAGGATAAGAAATATTGCAAAATATTTTCCAAAAAAGCAGACAATCTAAAATCTTTTTCTGAAAGAAGAGTGATTGTATAACCGGCAATTGGATAGAAACTGGAGAAAAGAGACTTGAAAGGAACATCCTGCACCAATATAAACTTACAAGATATGAGCTTTGAGGGGCTAAGAATGAAATTAACCAGGACAATTTTGGAGGAAAGATTGTTCATACTGAGTTAACGTAAAAGAACTTTGATATGATGCAAAAAAATAAAAATGAATAAAAATCCTTATTAAGCATTTCCACTGAGAGGAAAGATGCTACATTTCCAGTTTAAAAATATATAGAAAAGGTGTTGAGTTAAAGATCAATGTGGTTTCTCTGCTTCAGCATCGTCCTAGATCTTTGACGAGGCGATTCTCTATCTCCATTCTCTTCTTCATCAATAAAGCATACTTCCCTTGAAAGGAACATCCTACACCAATATAAATTTACAAGACATGAGTTTTGAGGGGCTAAGAATGAAATTAGCCAGGACAATTTTGGAGGACAGATTGTTCATACTGAGTTAACGTAAAAGAACTTTGATATGATGCAAAAAAAAAAAAAAAAGAATAAAAATCCTTATTAAGCACTTCCATTGAGAGTTCCAGATTAAAAATATATAGAAAAGGTGATGAGTTAGAGATCAATGTGGTTTCTCTGCATCAGCATCGTCCTAGATCTTTGACGAGGCGATTCTCTATCTCGATTCTCTTCTTCATCAATAAAGCATACTTGGAAACCAGTTCTTGGTCCCCAGCCTTCACGGAAAGCTTGCAGCTCAGAGCTGACTTCTCTAACTTGCCCTCGTACAGGTCTGCAATTGGCACAAAACTTCCTTTCTGACTGCACAGCCAGCCATGAGCAGCCCTCAATGCACCTCCAAGCGAAGCAGAATCTGTCAACCAAATACAAAGGTTATTCATCAAATCAAACTGGGATGGTAGCACATGAACGATAAAGTCAGCCTAACAATGTTGATTTGATTTCCAGGTATGTATTCTCTGTTGACATGAGGTTTTTCCAGGATTTTGAATAAAACTAGATATCCAGTAATCATATGGTAGAGAGTGATTGTTTTCATGGAAAAAACTGCTTACCGGGTTGTTGGACTGTATTCAAACTAGACATCCAATAATCATATGGTAAGAGTGATTGAAACTGCTTACCGGGTTGTTGGACTGTATAGACATCACAGCCAAATATCGATGCTAAAGAGTTCAAAATGCTACCATTAGCTGATGCTCCTCCGGTAGCTATAATTCGTTTTGGAGGGGAAGGCATGCCAAATCTTTCAGAATGAGCTCGCATTGAGAGGAACTGGCCCTCAATCACTGCTCGGACCTGAAATTGAAGATGTCTTTCATTAAAGAGAACAGTTGCACTGGCACACACACTTTTACAAATTCTCACCTCAGAAGGAGGATCAAATTCCTTCACTTCTTGTTCATTCAATCCCTCCACGTCGTTGCCCGTGAAATTTGGGAGCACATAGCGATGGAAGCCAACTGGGTTCATTAGAAACTGACTATTAATCTTTTGAGGCTTCTTTAGATAATAGACTTGTAGAAGTACAAACTAGGTTAAAAAAGAAAGAGAAAATAAAAGCAGTCTTAATGGTTAAATCAAATCATTTTTTGCAATTTCAAAGATCTTTCTGGATGGGCATTCATTTCCTTAAGTTGTATACCACTATATAAGCTCTCGCTATACAGCTCTAGTTGCATCTAAAGTTCTATCACCCCAATTTTTGTTTCTGAAACATCACAGAACCCACAAGCAAAGTTTTCAACAACAATGACATGGAATTGATACCCCTAAATGATTAATAGAAGCTCACCATCCAGAAAAATTAATGTTAGAAACTAGTAGTGACTGAAATGCAGATGCTCAACATATTGTTTCTTTTAGACAAAAAAATCGTTACAAGAAACATCCAAAAACATACCTGGAAGGGGAGGGAGAATTTCATGGTCCTTGTAGTAGAAACCCATCTTCCCACCTATTGACAAACTGAATCAGGAAACGGAAAGCAAGAAAACCATAGATATCCAGGAAAAGTAAAGTCATTCAGTGCATATACAAACCATTAAGAGCTTGTGTTTGCTCCAGATACTTGTTGAAGATTTCCCAAGATTTTTCAGCACAACGGTTGCGCACATCTAAAATCAAGATTGCGGTCATATTAGGGAGCTACTAAATGGTATTTGCTGGAAAATACAGGAATCAAGCAGTACCTTCTCGAGTCAAAGACCCATTTTTGTAGCATAACATAACCATGTAACCTTGTGTGTCAACAGGATTAGGGAAAACATGCCCTTCTAATCCAGGTTTGGGGTCGCTTGCAATCCCAAAAACCTTGAGTAAAAAGAATTGGTTCGTAAGATCGGCACATAATAATTGATTCTTATTTAACAAGGGTGAATTCATGTGAAGTTTCTAGACTCGCACGAAATTGATAGGATAGTACAAATAAATAAAGTACATGAGCATGGGATTTTTTTTAACAAGGATGAAACATTGATAGGAAGTACGTACAAATAAATAAAGTAGATAAGCATGGGATTTTTTTTAACAAGGATGAACAGTTCTGAAAAAATAATAAATGGTTTCTAAGGCAGCTCTCGTAAGTTCTATCAGACGTCTAATTCGAACATATGATGGTGGAACTAATCTTTGACAAAAAGGATTTTGATAATCAGAATCTG